AGCAGCAGCAGATGGACAGGTAAGCAGAGAGATGAGAATCCTAAGAAAGAACCAAAAAGAAATACTGGAGATCAAAAACACTGTAATAGAAATGAAGAACGCAGGGGGGCTTTCCTGGTGGCTTAGTTGTTTAGAATCCACCTGCCAACGCAAGAGACACGGGTTTGATCCCTGGTCCAGGAAGATTTCACATGCCATGAAGCAGCTGCGCCTGTTTGCCATAACTGCTGAGCCCGTGCTCTAGAGCCTGCGCTCCCGAAAAGAGAAGCCAGCACAGCAAGAAGCTCGTGCGTTGAAGCTGGAGAGGAGCCCTGCTGGCCACAACTAGAGCAAAGCCTTCATACAACAAGGACCAGCACAGCCAAAAATAGATAGATAAGTAAATAAAGTTATCTGTAAAAAATGATGATGCCTCTGATGGGCTTATTAGCAGACTGGACACAGCTAAGGAAAGAATCTCTTAGCTTGAGGGTATGTCCATATAATCTCAAAAAGCAAAGAGAACAAAGACTGAAGACATACAGTACAGAATATTGAAGGACACCGGGGACTACAAAAGGCATTGCATAATGAGAAGACCAGCAGAAGACAGAAAGAAAGGAACACATGAAATAATTGACTGAGTCACAGCAGTGACGGGATTTCTGTAAGCTGATGTCAGACATCAAACTACAGATCCAGGAAGCTCAGCGAACACCAAGCAGGACAGATACTCAAAAAGTGCACATTGGCCTATCAGATTTAAACTTCAAAAAATCAAAGATACAGAGGTGTCTATAGATAGAGAGGAACACATAAAAATTATATCTGACTTCCCCTCGACCCTGCAATCAAGAAGAGAGTGGAGTGAAATAGTTTTAAGTGTGAAGGGGAAATCCCATGAACTCAGACTTATGCACCCTGTGAAGTTCTTTAAAAGTGAAATGAAGTCTTTGAGAGAAATAAAGACCTTCTCAGACAAAGAAAAAATTAGGGAATTTGTTAAAAGCTGACCTGCCTTGTGGGAAATGTTCAAAGCAATTCTTTAGATAGGAGGAAAATAATGTGTGTCAGAAACTCAGATCTACATAAAGTCAGGAAGAACATCAAAGAAAGGCTAAGTGAAGGTTAAAAAAAAACAACTAATTTTTCTTCTTAATTGATCTAACAGATAAGACTTGTTTCAGAACAATAAAACCAACAATGTAGTCAATTATATGTTTATGTATATGTTATATATATATATACATATTTAGTTTAATATATAAAAACATCAACAAATTTAAAAAAATAGAAATGATACAGGGTCTGCTCTGAGGCCATAATTGAATTAAACTACATATGTGTGTGTGTGTATGCACACTTATGTATGCTTGTGTTAAGTGAATGAGTGATAGCAATGATGCAAGGGATGGAAGGGTGGAATTAGGATTATTTTTTTATTTTAAGTTACCTACACTTAACTTACATGGTTTGTATGGTAAAGAATCTGCCTGCATCGTGGGAGACCGGGGTTTGATCCCTGGGTCAGGAAGATCCCCTGGAGAAGAGAATGGCAACCTACTCCAGTATTCTTGCCTGGAGAATCCCATGGACAGAAGCGCCTGGGAGGCTGTAGTCCGTGGGGTGGCAAAGAGTCGGACACAACTGAGTGACTAACACTCGCACACTTTCACACTACCAGTAAAAGAGTATAATGCTATTGCAGAGGGGATTTGGATTAACCCCAGGTGTATATGGCAAGCTCTCGGGCAACCATTTTAGAAAGTTAGCAAAAAAAAAGTATAGCCAACATGCCAAAAAGGGAGAGAAGACAGGATCATATGGAATGCTCAGTTAAAACAGCAGAGGGGGAAGAAAAGGCAGGTGGCAGAGACAGGAACAAGGAACAAGGACAGCGGACAGAAAGCACTGACAGGCGTGGGGACTAATCCAGCTGCACCAGCGCGCAGTTTGAATTTCAGTGGTCCAGATGCACCAGTTAAAGGACAAGAGACGATCAGAGTGGATCAAAAACACAACTCAACTCGCTGTTGTCTACCAGAAGCCCACTTGAAATGTAAAAACACTTAGGTTAAAAGTAAATGGGATTAAAAAAAGGAAAAACAGTAAATGGAAGAAGGAAAATATAGCATGCTAACACCAAAAGAAAGCAGGAGTAACTGTTGATTTCAGACAGAGGAGACATGGACAGATTCAGCAGCAGAAATCAATAAGGACGTATTTGAGCAAAACAGACCACCAATCAACTGCATGTGAATCAGTAACAAAAGATAACTGGAAAATCCCCAAATACAGGGAGATTAAACCACACACTTCTAAATAACATGAAACAAGAAATACCAAGAGAAATGTTAAAATATGTTCAACTAAATGAAATTGAAAAACACATCAAAATTTGTGGGAAGCAGCAAAAACAATGCTTAGAAGAAAGTTTATAGCATTGAATTCATATACTAGGAAAGAAGAAAGATGTAAAATCAATAATTAAGTTTCCAGCCTAGGAAATGAAGAGCAAATTATTAATTAATCCAAAGTAAACAGAAGTAAAAAAATAATAATTAGAGCTAAATAAATGAAATTAAAATCAGGAAATGAATGGAGAAAAATCAATGAAACTAAAAGCTGGATCTTTGAAAATATTAATGATATTTATAGGCTTCTAGCCAGGCTAAGGGAAAAGGAGAACACAAATTGCTGATACCAGAAATGGAAAAGTAGACATCACTATAGATCTTATGGACAATTAAAAAAAAGTTAATAATACTATAAAAGGAATACTATGAATAATTTTATGTTTGCCAATTTGATAAGCTAGATAAAATGGACCAATTCTTGAAAGACAGAACCTGTCCAAACTCACACAAGAAGAAATAGACTATCTGATAGGCTTGTATCTATTAAGAAAATTAAGTCAATAATTAACAATCTTTCAAATCAGAAAGCACCAGGCCCAGATGGGTTTACTGGTGAATTCTACCAAGCTTCTAAGAAAGAAATTATACTTGTCTACAATTTCTTTAAGAGGACAGAAGCAAAAGGAATACGTCCTCACTCATTCTGTTAGGCCAGCATTAACCTAATACCACAACCAAAGTCCTTATGAGAAAACTGCAGACCAACATTTCTCATGAAAGTGAAGTTGCTCAGTCATGTCCGACTCTTTGCAGCCCTGTGGACTGTAGACTACCATGCCCCTCTGTCTATGGGATTTTCCAGGCAAGAGTGCTGGAGTGTGTTGCCATTTCCTTCTCCAGAGAATCTTCCCAACCCAGGGATTGAACCTGGGTCTCCCGCATTGCAGGCAGTCTCTTTACCTTTTGAGCCACCAAGGGCTCCTAAGGATATGCTAGTATCTTAGGGCAGCATAGGATACGCTAATGATGGATACATGTCAATTTGTCTAAATCCATAGAACATGTAACACCAGGAGTGAACCCTAATGTAAACTATGGACTTCGAATGATTCTGATGTGTCACTGTGGGTTCCTCAGTTGTAACTGATGTTCCATTCTGGTGGGGATGTTGTTGATGGGGAGACTTAAAGTCTTAAATAAAGTCTTAATTTTAAAAAAAAAAGCTGTGGAACCCTGCCCCCCCAAAAAAGACAGTGTGTGCTCGTCAAGAGCCTGAGTGGCAATCATGGGTCTTGGGGAGGGGTGAGCACTGGAGTGAATCCTAAACTCACATCCCAGTTCTGCTTCCTGCTAGTGACATGATTTTAGCATCAGTTTTCTCATCGGTAAAATAGGAGACCAGTGCCTACTTGGCAGGGTTGGCCTGAGAAAGATAAATGGTTTGTGGTTCCTTTGCGGGGAGGCTGACCTGGTTGCCCCACACTGGTAGTTGATGTTAGTAGCTGTGCTGGCAGTGATGATGGAAAGAAATAGAGAACGAAAGGAAGGAAAGAAGAACTTGGTCTTTGTGTCCACTTCTTGTGATTTCTCAGTATTTTAAAAATAGCAGATCTCACTGCCATGAAGATGGCTACTAAAAAGTGACAAATGTGGGTGAGGACGTGAGGAATTGGAACCCTTTTGCACTGTTGGTGGAAATGTAAAATGGTGCAACCACTGTGGAAAACAGTCTGAAGGTTCCTCAAAAAATGGAGCAATTCCACCTCTGGGTATATACCCAAAAGGGTGGAAAACAGGGCCTCAGAGACATTTACACACCCATGTTCATAGCAGCAACTGTTCACAATTGCCAAGAGATAAAGGCAGCCCAAGTGTCCATCAACAGATGAATGGATAAACAAGATATGATGTGTGCATACACACACAATGGGATACTCTTCTTAAAAAGGAAGGGAGTTGTCATATGCTACACCACTGATGAATCTTGAAGGCATTCCAATAAGTGAAATAAGGTAGTCGTGAAAAGACAAATACCGTATGCTTGCATTTATGTGAGAAACCTAGTAGAGTCAGTCAAATTCACGGAGACAGAGTAAAAAGGTGGTTACTGGCCGGGGGGGGGGGGGGGAGGCAAAGAGGATTCTTGTTTAATGGGTACAGTGGTTCAGACTTCCGCGGTCGACATTTCTGGAGGCCCGTTCAGCAGCAGCGTGGCTGTCCGCGGCGCTCCTGACCTGCGCAGCGGTGGTTGTCGCTCCGTTGCTAACATGTCCCGCTCCTTGCCCTCATGGGCTGCAGCGCGCCAGGCCCCCCGTCCTTCCCCGTTTCCCCGAGTTTGCTCAGATGCCTGTCCACTGAATCAGTGATGCTATCCAACCACCTCATCCTCTGCCACTCCCTTCTCCTTTTGCCTTCAATCTTTCCCAGCATCAGCGTCTTTCCCAGTGACACTTAAAAACAGTCAACGGTAAATTTTTTGTTTCTTTTAGCCATAACCAAAAAAATGGCTAAATCGTTATTATCACTTATAGATTACATAGGCAAATCACAAATGCGGCAAGATGGGCTGTTCTCAAGACTGCGAAGTCATTGAATGTTGTGTGCAGCATCATCTGTATGTGTGGACATTTGTACAATTTACTTGTATGTTTTGCTTTCTCCTAGTAATGCCATCGGGCCCCTGGTGGCTCTGTGGCTCATTTATGAACAAGGTGCGGTCCTGCAAGAAGCGGCGACTCCCGTCTGGCTGCTGTTTTATGGAGGGGTTGGAATTTGTACAGGCCTCTGGGTGTGGGGGAGACGAGTGATCCAGACCATGGGGAAGGACCTCACGCCCATCACGCCGTCCAGGTGAGCCGGGGGTCAGCCTCAGAGCAGGGTGTCGAAGTCCCCCTGCACAGCCTGTTCTGGGGGAGAGGGGACGGTCCCCAGAGCAGGGCGTCTCCGAGCACCGTCTCCCCCATCACCCTCATGCTCTGTTCGGCCCCCATCCGCGGTGGCACTGAGATGGGGGAGAGGGATGAGAACGGAGGCAGATGCAGACGGAAGAGAAGACGCGCGATTCCACCTGCAGCCCCTGTTCCCATCCCACTGGGTGTCCTCCCGTCCCAAGGTCCAGAGAACGAGTGGTAAAGGCCGGGCGGGGACTGCCTGTCCCAACACTCTCCGCTCACAGGCTCCACCTGCTGGCGGGAGGCCGCTCTCGCCTGCTGCCCTCAGGGTTGATTGCCTACATCCTTCCTGGGCTGCCTGGGCTCAGGGCATGGGGTGGGGGCGTGCCCTGCCCTGGAGTGGGGTCTGGAGTCTCCCACCTGGCTTCCTGTGGTCCTCCTTTGGAGATATTTAGAGATATTAGGGGTCAAATAAATCCACAAGAGAATTTTCCAAGTAAAATTAAAATTCAGAACTACATACTTTAAGGGCTTCCCGCAAGGCTCAGTCGGTTAAGAAACTGCCCACAATGCCAGAGACCTGGGTTTGATCACTGGGCCGGGAAGACCCCCTGGAGAAGGGAATGGCAACCCACTCCAGTATTCTTGCCTGGAGAATCCCATGGACGGAGGAGCCTGGTGGGCTACTGTCCATGGGGTCGCAAAGAGTCAGACAGGACTTAGCGACTCAACCACCACCACCACCTATTGTAAAAGGTCTTTTCCCCTTGAAATTCATTTTAACAAAAGATTCTAGCATTGATTTGAAGAAAAACTAGTAATCTGAGCAAAAAGTCAGTCCTTTATGATAATAAGCACACATTTTTGAAACAAGAGTGTGGTTCTTCCCTGCGTCCATTTAGAAACGACATGTGTAGTTTTCCTTGTGGCAGGTATTCCTGGCCCAGCCCCTTCAGGTGAGGTTTCTGAAAACCCATCAGGGAGACAGGACTCGCGCCTTCGGGCTGAGTGCGGCCTGGTAGCGAGTGCCGTGTGATGCTGCCGCGATGTCCGGGTTCTGGTGCTGTGCAGCCCAGTCCACCAGGAGGTCCTGGGGAGCCCCTGGCGGTGCCCTCACGGCCTCCTGTCTCCCCCCCACAGCGGCTTCACCATCGAGCTGGCCTCGGCCTTCACCGTGGTCATCGCCTCCAACATCGGGCTGCCAGTCAGCACCACGCACTGCAAGGTAGGTGGGCTGGCCCGGTCGCCAGGGCGAGGCGGTGGGGGGTAGTCGGGGCGGCTCTGGGCGTGCACTCAGGGATGGCAGAGTCAGCTGGGGTCTCCCGGGGGCATCTTCTCAGCAGCCCCTCCGGGCTCTCCCCGCCCTCTTCCCCCGTGTCCTGGTTCTCTCACCGGGGGTTTTGCATTGAGGTCCTGCGTCCATGAACCATGTTCGTAGGCCAGGGTCGGGTGGGGAGGGGCGCATCACTCAGTCCCGCCACCCCCACCCCGAAGGGGCCCGAGGGCGGACAGGAGACAGACATAGGCACAAATCGCTCATGTGAGCGTAAGACACAGCTGTTTCAGTTCTCTTCTCTTCTGTATGGTGGTCAGAGCGACCCTATTGCCTTTGAGTCAATTGCAGAAGATATTAACGACTGTTAATATCAGGCTCTAGAGCTCAGGGTGAGAGGGGATTTCTTGTCTAGTGCTGAGATGTTGGAGCTGCGAGGAGCCTTAAAGATGAAGAAAGAGGAAACAGGCTCTGGAAGTTGTCCAAGGGAGCCCCAGGGTGGGCCAGGCTGGAACCCAAGTCTGCTAACCCAAGGTTGCCAAATACCTGGGGGAATTCTGAAATCTGCCCAGGGGCCTCAGGTATACAAACATAGCCACTAACTTCAGCAAAACACAGGCCTTTGCAGATTTTCCTAGGTTCAGTGACTCCTGTCATTCAAGAAAAACTCACCTGTTCTGCTGTGTGTGAGGTGCTCTCCTGGGTACCGAGGGATCTCAGTGACCGTGACAGACACGGCCACCCCGCACCCAGTCTCAGAACTCCGACCCGTATGTCTGCAAACAAGCACTGCTGAGTGTGAAAGGCTCACAAAAAAAGAGTGAAATAATGCCGTTTGTAGCAACATGGATGGACCCAGAGGTTATCGTATTGAGTTAAGTCAGACAGAGAAAGACAACTATCATATGATATCACTTAGTAAGGCATTGAGTCTAATTAACAATGATACAGATGAACTTATTTAGAAGACAAAAACTGACTCACAGACATAGAAAACAAGCTTATGGTTACCAAAGGGGTAAGGGAAAAGGACCGATAAATTAAGAGTTTGGGATTAACAGATACACAATACTATATATAAAACAGGTAAACTCCAGGGGCCTACTGCACAGGGAACTATGCTTAATATGTTATAATAACCTATAGCAGATGAGAACCTGTATATATATACACATAAAAAAAAATATATATATATATATAACTGAATCACTTTACACCTGAAACTAACATAACATTGTAAATCAACTATAATTAAAATAACTACAAATAGGATCACTAGCCTCTAGGTTTCAGCTATCTAACCTGGAAAATGAAAAGACTTAGATGACTTGTAATACAGATGCTGTCTGTTTCCCCTACTTCTCAGTAATTCTGTTGCTGTTAGTGCTTGGTGATGGACTTAATCTGGAAACATACTCAAGAAGTTGAAATGACAGCCAAGAATACCACCTTATATCAACAAAAGACCTCATCAATGGTGAAGCCATGGGACTCTGGACCCTTTGTGATCCAAATAACATAGCAACTAAAAATACAAGGCAAAAGCTGTTATAACTCAGAAATTACTATGTCTAAGTCTGTGATAAATGAAGAATATAGAAGTACTTAGGAATGTAAAAGATTTGAATAGATTTATAGTAGTATAATTGGGCTTCCCTGGTAATTCAGATGGTAAAGAATCTGCCTGCAATGCAGGAGACTTGGGTTCAATCCCTGAGTCAGGAAGACCCCCTGGAGAAGGGAATGGCTACCCACTTCAGTGTTCTTACCTGGAGAATCCCCATGGACAGAGGAGCCTGGCAGGATACAGTCCATACTGAAGCTGCTTAGCATGTATACTTAGCCAGCACACATGACAAATAAATATGAAACAAAAAGTGGGGAGGGGGAGTGGAAAACCTGATCGGAACAGTAGGAAGAAATTAAGGAAGTTCTCCAAAAACAATTCTCACCTGAAAAGACAAAAGGAGGAAAACGCTGCTTGACCCCAGATCTCGATGGGGTCGCTGTTAATCTTTTCCACCTCAGAAGAGAGCATTCTCATATTAAATGAGCTTGCCATAGTATAGGGGAAAATAAAACAGGAAGCCCTCCAACTTGTTCTATGAAACATATACTGAATAACCTAATACTGAAACCTGATTGAAAACATCACAAACAGTGAAAGCTGTATTTCCAGATGTATGTTGATTAAAAAAAAAAAGAAAAAAACCTTTAAGATGCTAATAAATGACATCAACACTATTATGAAAGAACATTTCAACAGGACCACACTGATCTTCTGGGTTGTCAGAAAGTTGGCTCTGACCAGGACAGGTCTTATCTGCTGCTGATACCTATACGGAGCAGGCCCCTCACAGAGCTTGAGAAATGGGTGTTTACAGATGTCTTCAATATAATATGGTTCATCGATCCATTTGAAAACAATGTATGGTTGTCTGCTGAGATCCATTCCAAAAAGACATTTAATAAAATTCAGCATGGATTTCTAAGACATTCCTGGATCCAGTAAAAATGACTGGGTTTGCGATAAAAAAAACACAAAAATTTAGAACTTTTGCCTGTCAGCAATAGCCAGTAAGAAAATGAGATAAAAACAAAGAACCCCCTCCATAGTTGCAAGAAAAATAAAAGTTACTTCAGAAGAATCCTAATAAAGTGAGAGATGTACATGGAGAAAACACAAAGCTTTGCTCACAGGTCAAAGAAAACCTGAGTATGAGACATACTGTGTCGTTGGGTGAGAAACCAGGTTTTATAAAGATGTCAGTTCTCAAACACAACGCCAACCAATTCTTACAACTTTACAAACTAAGGCTATAGTTAATTTTGTGGGTTAAATTAGCAGGAATATAAAATAATCTACAGAGAAAAACAATGATGAGGGAACAGCCTGGCCAGATAGGAAGTCTGTTACAAGGAAACAGGAGGCAAGAGGGTGGGGAGAGAGGGCTGATGGGCAGACTCTCAGGCTGGGATGACAAAAAAGTTCTGCAGATGCGTGGTGATGATGGTTGGCATTAAATTGTACACTTAAAAATTATTAACATGACAGATTTTTGTGTTGTATATTTTACAATAATAAAAAATTAGATGAGTGAGTGAGTGAAGTCGCTCAGTTGTGTCCGACTCTTTGCGACCCCATGGACTGTAGCCCACCAGGCTCCTCCGTCTATGGGATTCTCTAGGCAAGAATACTGGAGTGGGTTGCCGTTGCCTTCTCCATGGGATCTTCCCGACCCAGGGATTGAACCCAGGTCTTCCGCATTGCAGGCAGATGCTTTACTGTCTGAGCCACCAGATACTTGTATAAAAAAGTAGATAGGCCAGAGATCGAATGTAGTATGTATGAGCATGTAGTTTGAGGAAGGAAAACTTTGACCAGTAAGTGATGTTGGATAACTGGCATTCCCCCTAGAGAAGCAAATTTAGACCCACGGTTGTCAAAGTATGTGCTATTATCTAATGGCTTAAATATTTTAAAATTACTTTAAAATTTAAAATAAAATAGAATTTTTAAAAATTTAAAATAAATGAGAGTTATGGGCTTCCCTGGCGGCTCAGTGGTAGAGTCCACCTGCCAATGCAGGAGACGTGGGTTTGATCCCTGATCAGGAAGATCTCACCTTCTACAGGGTAACTAAGCCCGTGCACCCCAACTACTGAGCCTGTGCTCTAGAGCCGGGAGCCGCAACTGCTGAGCCCACGGGCCGCAACTAGTGAAGCCCACGGGTCCTAGAGTCCATGCTTCGCCAGCAAGAGGAGTGACCACAGTGAGAAGCTTGCGCATCACAACTAGAGAGTAGGCCCCACTCGCTGCAAGTAGAGAAGAGCCCGCACAGCAGCACAGACCCAGCACGGCCAAAGATGAGTATTTTTAAATAAAGGAATGAGAGGTAAATACCAAATATTCAAGCCAAAGATCAGTCACAGAGGAAAGGTATAGCGTATTTTAGTGTGTGACATTAGAAATTTAAAAGTGAAAGCGGAAATACTGACTTGAGAAAATATTTGCATTAGATGTCAGTTAATATCTATTTAAACAGCACATAAACAAAGAAGACCTTAGCTGGCCTGGGCAACCGCGATGTGGCCTCTCGGGGCCAGACATCCTGGAGTGAGAAGTCAAGTGGGCCTTGGGAAGCATGGCTGCCACTGAGGCTAGTGGGGGTGACGGAATTCCAGCAGAGCTGCTCCACATCCTGGAAGATGACGCTATTCAAGTGCTACACTGAGTATGCCAGCAAATTTGGAAAACCCAGCAGTGGCCACGGGACTGGAGAAGGTCAGTCCTCATCCCAGGTCCCAAGAAAGGCAGCCCTAAAGGATGTTCAGACCGCCGGACGGTTGCACTCCTCTCTGTGCTAGTAAGGTATGCTCAAAATCCTCCAAGCCAGGCTTCAGCATTACGTGAACCGGGCACTTCCAGATGTTTAGCTGGGTTTAGAATAGGCAGAGGAACCAGAGATCAAATTGCCAACATTTGCTGGATCATAGAGAGAACATTCCAGAAAAACATCTACCTCTGTCTCATGGACTACACTAAAGCCTTTAACTGTGTGTATTAAAACAAACTGGGAAAACACTTGGAGACATGGGAACACCAGACCATCTCGCCTGTCTCCTGAGAAACCTGTATGCGGGTCAAGAAGCAACAGTTAGAGCCCTGTGTGGGACAACTGACTGGTTCAGGGTTGAGGAAGGCTGCTTACTGTCACCCTGTTTATCTAACTTATACACAGAGCACATCATGTGAGATTCCTGGCTGGATGAGTTACAAGCTGGAATCAAGATTGTCAGGAGCAATGTCAACAACCTCAGACATGCAGATGATGCCACTCTAATGGCAGACAGTGAAGAACCAAAGAGTCTCTTTAGGGTAAAGGAGGAGAGTGAAAAACCCGGCTTAAAACTCAATATCAAAAAAACTAAGATCATGACATCTAGTCCCATCACTTCATTGCAAATAGATGGGGAAGCAATGGAAACAGTAAGAGACTTTATTTTGGGGGGCTCCAAAATCACTGTGGATGGTGACTGCAGCCATGAAATTAGAAGACCATTGCTTCTTGGCAGGAAAGCTATGACAAACCTAGACAGTGTGTTAAAAAGCAAAGACATTACTTTGCTGACAAAGGTCCATATAGTCAAGCTATGGTCTTTCTAGTAGTCATGTATGGATGTGAGAGCTGGACAATGAAGAAGGCAGAGCACTGAAGAATTAATGCTTTCAAATTGTGGTGCTGGAGAAGACTCTGGAGAGTCCCTTGGACTGCACGGAAGTAAAACCAGTCAGTCTTAAAGGAAGTCAATCCTCAATACTCTTTGGAAGGACTGATGCTGATTCTGAAGCTTCTGTACTCTGGCCACCTGTTGTGAAGAGCTGACTCACTGTAAAAACCCTGATGCTGGGAAAGATTGAGGCAGAAGAAGGGGACAAAAGAGGATGAGATGGGTGGATGGCATCACCCATGCAGTGGACATGCACCTGGGCAAACTCTGGGAAATGGTGAGGGACAGTGAAGCCTGGCATGCTGCAGTCCCTGGTGTTCTTGAAGAGTCGGACACAGTGACTGAGCAATAACAAAATAAGAGACACATTCAGATTCCAATATGTAAAAAGGTAAAATACAGGAAGAGGCTTTATGTTCCCAGGTGTTATTTCAACTGTTTAATATAATTTATGTAAAATACTGTAGTTTTAGGTGTACAACATAGTAATTCAATTTCTATAGATGATACCCCATACAAAATTATTATAAAATATTGATTATATCCCCTGTGCTGTATATTACATCCTTGTAACTCATTTTATACGTAGTGATTTGTGCCTTTTAGCCCCTTTCGCCTGTCTTCCTCCCTGCTCGTTACCACTAATTTGTTCTCTGATTCTGTGAGTCTCTTTTATTATACTTACCTTGTTAGGTTCCATGTGTAAGTAAAAACATACAAAATTTGGGTCTCTTCTTTCACAAAGCATAATACCTCCAGGTTCATCTGTCTTGTTGCAAATGGCAGCATTTCATTCTTTTTTATGGCTGAGTGGTATTCCTGTCTGTGTATACCACTCTTCTTTATCCGTTTATGTATTGATAGACACTTAGGTTGCTTCCATATCTTTGTTACCGTATGTAAATAATGTTGGGGCGCACATATGTTTTCAAATGAGTGTCTTCATTTTCTTTCGATAAATACCCGTGAGTTGGAATTTCCGGATCGGGTAGTACTGTGTGTTTCCATTTTTTTGTGGGACCTCCACACTGTTTTCCACAGCGGCCGCACCAGTTTACACCTCCTCCAGCAGCGTACTGGACTTCCCTTTTCTCCACACCCTTGCCAGCATTTGTTATCTGTGGTCTTTTTGATGATAGCCATTCTGACAGGTGATGTCCCATTGTGGTTTTGATTTGTGTTTCCTGGATGATGAGTGATGTTGAGCAGCTTTTCATGTGCCTGCTGGCCATCAGTATCCTTTTTGAGAAAAATGCCTATTTAGGTCTTCTGTCCATATTTTAATCAGGTTGCTTCTTTTTTATATTGGGTTGTATGAACTGTGGCCCTCTTCTCCTGCCCTCAATCTTTCCCCGCCATCAGGGTCTTTTCCAGTATTAATCCTGACATTGTTTCTAATAGGGAAAAATTGGAGGCAAATTGGAAATGTTTAAATAAATTAAGGTACATCCACCTAAAGGGTGTACCACTTTTTATGATGGTCATGAAGGTGTGAGCACTGTGAGAAAATGTTTATTTTCTTAAAGAAAGGAAACAGTAGTGTTCCCTGTTTACAAATATAGGTATGTTTATTAAAAATAATATAAAGGAATACACAAACATGACAATAGTGATGTTTTGGGATAACTCACTAACAGTGGCCATCTGATAATGTTGGCCACTTGATGTGAAGACTCACTGGAGAAGACCCCGATGCTGGAAATGTTGACAGCAAAAGGAGGAGAGGGTGGCAGAGGATGAGATGGTTAGATAGCGTCACTGACTCAGTGGACATGTATCTGAGCAAACTCCAAGAGATAGTGAAGGACGGGAAAGCCTGGCGTGCTGCAGTCCATGGGGTTGCAGAGAGTCAGACACAATTTAGCTACTGAACAACAATTAATAGTGGGTAATTGTCCACTCCTCCTATTACATAAACTTGCAGTAATATATTTTCTGCTTTTAAGAAAAGTGTTTTAAGAAAGAGAGTGTGGATAACCTTAAAATTTGAGTATGTTCTCTTATGTGTGAGGTAATCCAGCCTAGCTGAAGAGGGACTGTATCAAGGAGAGTCTCATCTCAGAAGCCACTGGTAGTAGACTTGCTGTATTTGAGGACCAGTAGGACCTCACTGGTCTTTGTGCAGCAGCAAATGTGCAGCAGCAAAGTCTCGATTGTCTCCTGTGTGCTAGAAACTGGTTTTAGACAAAGGATTTACATAGAACGGTCATCTAATGCCCCTTAGATGGGTTGTTAGTTGCTACCTGGAGGTGGTATAGAATTGCTAATCACAGCTTGGGTTGACAAAATGTCAGATTAACTTCCTTAAATATGCTGCTGGTTTTGCTGTTCTAGTTTGCTTCCATAAACAAGTGAAGTGTTGGATATTATTGTTTCTGCTGACCTCAGAATACACCCCAGTTGCTCTTTGAAGCTCACTGGCCCCTGAAGCTCACTGGCCCCTACTAACTCTGAAATAATTCTGGTCAGTGGAGACAAAACCTGTTTCATGGAGATGTTCAGAGGCCCCTCCCAGGGGCCAAGGGCACCTTGTGTCTCTGAGCTTCATCAGAGCTTGATTGAGGTGTGAGATATTAGGCTTTATACTTTCTCATGATTTCCATTTTTAGATACTTAAAGTTGTGTGTTTTTTCCTTTGTAAATTTCATAAAATGAACTGCGAGTGTACACAGAAATATTGAATCCATGTTAACATATTGATTTTCAAGTATCTCTATTATTTGTGAAACATGATTGACATTTTAAAACCAATAATATTTATGTCCCATTTGATTAATTTTTTATCAGTAAAGTACAAGGACTGCAAACTAGTTGGAGAAAATGTTTAAAATCAAGAGCCCTCAGTTCTCATCCTCACCCTGCCATGACTTAAAAATCTTCTCCTACCCCCTACGCCCTCTGGAAGTGTTTTATCTTCCACAAACTGAGCCACATGGATTAGACCTTTGCAAAGATCTCCAGCTCCAACATTTTATGATGTTTTTATTCTAGGAGGAGAGTACGTTACTGCCATTTCATTGTGTACTTTCAGTAGGTTCACCACTGTAATCAACAGTCTCCTGCCTGGGGAGTATTTAAAATAAGGGCCATCACAGCTGATTGCTAAAGTGCAGGGAGAAGAGAAAACATTTGCTTGGCTAAGCTGCCATTCAAATAGAGCAGAATACATACAGAAAAGTGCTTCAGAACTCTTTTCTGGACAGAGTAATCCTAAAATAATTATAGCTAAAATCTAGTAAGTGTTTTTAAAAGCTTTTTATCAGATTTAGGGGACAGAACTGGTCGTCTTACACTGTTGGCTGAATGCAGATTGCGTCTCGCCTGGGTTTGCTCTGAAATGCTGGTGCTCCTTCCTCCAGGTCGGCTCGGTGGTGGCGGTGGGCTGGATCCGCTCGCGGAAGGCTGTGGACTGGCGCCTCTTCCGCAACATCTTCGTGGCCTGGTTCGTGACGGTGCCCGTGGCCGGGCTGTTCAGTGCTGCTATCATGGCGCTCCTCATGTACGGGATCCTTCCATTCGTGTGAGCGCTCCTTGGCGGCTGGCAAATGAGGGACGGTCCAGGGTGTGTGCGTGGGCGCTGTGGGCTCACACCCGCACGCACACGCCGTGCCCACGCGTGGGCTGCCCCCCGGCCAGCGCCTCCATGCCTCTCTCAGATGTTCCAGACCACACTGTCCACCTAGGTGTAGCGTCATCATCCAGAGCTAACTTAACTACTGTACATAATACTGTGCATTCAACTGGTATTGTGGCGACATAACATGGTGCGGTTACTTATATATTAAATATATATTGTATACATAGAATAATAGCTAGTATTATTTCAGACATGCTCGAGATGGGAGTGGAGCTACCTGCCTAGATTTCAATATTCAACAAATCTTTGTACATACCGATTTCAGCAGCAGATTTTAAGAACCTTTTAAAAGGAAAATGTAGATTGGAAGATGGTGTTTTTTTCCCCATTTAATATACTGAAGGAGGCCCATTTGGGAAGGTGTACGTGTGTCCGTGTGCTGTTGACTCATACTGGAACAGGAGTTCACAAGTGCTTTCACTGAAGAATTTGTTCATATACTGTGTATTGATTATGTAATATATCATGAATTGCTTCTGTAAATACTTAAAACTGTAATTTTTTAATGGTGTGCTTCCCTTATACTTTTTTGATCAGAGAATTTTGGAAAGTACCAAAGAAGCAGCGGAATAGTTTGCCAGTATTATATTTTCATACTGTTTGTGTCCCCCCTCCCTTCTCACTAATCCCAACATCAACCCTGGGATGTGGCGCGACCACCACCTGGAGCAGGGTGTATGCTGAGACACCAGCCCCCGCCATGGGCACGCCCCTCTTCCAGTCCCCCAACACACCCCCCACTGCTGCCCGTGCCAGATCCTGGCCCCTCGATGCTGTCAGCGTAGAGGATGTACGGACATGATTGAGCACTACGTGTCAAGTCCAGTTTAAACTCCTGCCCCGCCCCTCCTCCCCTGCAGCCTGAAGAATGGGACTCTGACCTCAATCATGAGGCAAGTGCTTTGGCCTTCTAGAAATTCGGGAGTGGGGAGGGTTGACCTGTTAAGACAATACACTGGACTTGAGGACTTCTTTTGAGGCCTTCATGGAGCGGAGCATCCTGGTTGCTCTGCTGTGGTCCCCACTGGAGTCTTCTCTTTTTTTGATAGCGGGAGGAAGTACGACTAATGCAAGAGCCTGAAAACTGTGGAAATGCTGCTAAAACTTTTATATTGACAAACACTTTCTCGGTACTTCATTGTGATTTTTCATTAATCAACCATATTAAATTTATAATAAAAAATGCCCCTCAAAAGTTTGCCTCTGAAGTCTTTTTCTACATACCTATATTTTTTCTTACTGCATTTACACAAAAATAAAAGCTATAATTCATTTGCTTCTGTTTTTCAAATACCTTTTTTTCCCCTCTTATTTTACTACTGTTAACCTGTTTGTGCCCAAAATACACAAGAGGAAAGGATGGCCCCCAACCCAGCCATGCATTCACACACAGTGAGCCTTCAGTGATGAACTGCCTGCCAAGAGAGCTGGTCCCCGATGGGACCTGTCACACTGCTCGGACTTCTCATTTCATACTTTTTTTTTTAAAAGGAATTTTTCTAAAATTGTTATCTCTTTATGTTTGGTTACACTGGGTCTTTGTTGCTGCATGCAGGCTTTCTCTTAGTTGCAGCGGGCAACTAGATTGAACCTGTGTCCCCTGGGTTCGCAGTGGATTCCTAGCCACTAGACCACCAGGGAAGCCCCCCGGTTCACCCTTAAGTCAGCCAGACTCAGCAGCGTTGGGGCTGTGGCTCGCCCATCTAGGGCTGAGGACCCAGCCAGAGCCCACGTCCTGTCTCCCTTCTTGGCTCCAGCGGCCAAGAACACAACAAGGACACAGCTCCCTGGAGCCTCGGGACCTTCAGAAGGAAACTTCCAGCCTCTGTGGCAGAAGTCATGCTCTCTGTCTCCTTCTGGGGCCGGGAAGGTAGGAGAGGAGGAGGGCTGGCCAGGTGGAAACTCCGCAGAGAGTCTTGCCTGCCCTGATTTTTAAATGGTACTTCAGGCTTTTCATGGCCCTGCTTTTGATAAAACTATAAAGTTCTGTTTCCTCCTAAACTATACAAGAAAAATAATGGCACAACAGTGTCAGGCTGCAAGGTCTGTCCTGGCAGACGGGCTGCTGTCTCAGTGCAGTGGCTGGAAAAGAGGGTTGACAGGATTTCAGTCTCACTGCACCTGTCTCAGTAGCCAGGATGGCAGAGGCCCCGATGTGAAGCAAGACAAAGGTGACGACCACACGGGGCCCTGCCAGAGAACCATTTCAGATGTAGACACACAGGCTGGAAGGATGGAGAAAGGTACTGTGTACAAATGGAAACAGAGAAAGCTGGGAAAGCAATACTCGTTACCAGTCAAAATAGAATTCAAAGACTAACAAAAAGACAAGGACATGACGTAATGACCAAGGGATTAAACCAAGATCAATTCAAAAAGATGTAACAACTGTATATGCACCCAGCATAGGAGCACCTCAATCCATAGTGCAAAGTTCAACAGATAGAAAGGGAGGCACATTAACATAGTATCAGGAAGGGACTTGAGCGCTGAACTTACATCAATGGACGGACACAAAGTTAACCCAGAAACATTGGTTTTCAGGCCAATCTGTGCATTGCTGCTTATACCTATATTTCTATCCCAAAGCGGCAGAATATACATTATTTTCAAGTGCACAAGTAACAGTCTCCAGGATAGATCATAAGCTAGGCCACAAATCAATTCTGAAAGTAAATTTAAGAAGACTGAAATCCTGTCAATTCTCTTTTCCAGCCACTGCACTGAGACTAGCCAGTGACTAAACAGCGTGCAGAGACAAGCCTTGCCCACTGCCCCTTCCCCCTGCTGCCCCCAAGTTATCTAACTGGGATGGCCTCCCCTCCCCACGAGGGCAGAGGAGGGACCCTACCAAGGGGACAGGATGCTGACAGTCTTTCCTTTGAGTTAATCAGCCTCTTCCTCAAAATGCACACACTTCTCAGACCAGGGACCCTCCTGTGTCCCTGACATCTTACTGTGCTGAGGCTTTGTCACCAGATGCTCTGTGGTGCAAAGACAGGGGCATGGATCTGAGGGGCTACTGGGGATGCAGCCTCCCAGCCCGGCCTCCCGTCTCTCTTCAGGGCAGAGCCTGCATGCAGCACAGGCTGTAGACCACCAAGAGAGCCAGAGCAGGATGCATTTGCTAGTCATTTCCCAAGGCCAGCAATCCAGAGGTTAAATCAAACTCTAAATGTCGATTCCAGACTGTGAGTTGGGAGGTTACTGGGGAAGGAAGGGAGGAAGTCAAAATGAACAAGACAGACGGACCTCCGCGGCAGGACGCCTGGACCCCACAGCCAGGCTGGCACCTTCCACTGGCAGACGACAGTGGCGCCCAGTGGTGTCAAATGTAGCTGCAACCATGTCCGTCTTTCCAGAAGCTTTTAAATTGCAGAGGTAAAGTCACCTCACAGAGTTCAGTATATCATAATTCAAGGAGTTGTCAGAAAGGTCAGGGGTTCTCTGTGCCGCTTTGACGGCCAGAGGGGACTGAGTACCGCCAGAGGAGAACCTCAATCTGGATGCAGAAACCCAAACCAGGCCCATTTTCTCGGGCCCACACTCACTGAGTAAACATGTGCCCATCATGTCCCAGATGCTGGCCTGGCCATAGACACAAGAAGACAGGCCTCGTGGAGCTCATCCTCGGGGGCGGTGGGTGCACAACACTGCCAACACGATGGTGTGGCTGCCTCGCTGTGGGAGTGCACCCAGAAGGCAGGAGCCAGGGGGTGGGGGGTGGGGGGCAGCTTTCAGAAGAGGTGGAATGTTGGCAGAGACACCAAGAGCACAGTGACGGTGACAGCACTGGCTCTCTTGGGAGACGCTGTGATTCAGAGGCTGCAGAACAGCCGAGAAGCACATCTGACAGGCTGCTCCCGGCAAAGGTCTGTAGGTGGTCAGCCACCCACCGAAGGCCCGACAAGCTGGCTGGAGAGTAAGGCTCCAGAGACGAGACTGAGGATGCCTGCAGGGTCGTGAATGAATCAATGTTAAAAAGGAAGATCAAAAGCGACGAGGCCACAGGAGTTACAAGGCTGTAACGGGCTGGGGGTGGGGAAGGAAAGGAAGGGGACGCTGGGGAGTGGAGGGGAGGTGCTGAGGGGCATTTTATGGGGCAGAGGAGAGCTGGTGAGCGTCTCAGCACCAGTACACTGGGGAGGCTTCCTCTCCCAGGCGACTGCACTCCAGACGCCTGCAGTCACTGTGAGGGGCCAGCACAGGGCCTGGCACAGAAGCTCAAACGTGCTCTCCTTTCTGCTACGACTGTCGTGACGAGGGCACTTAGATCACAGCCCTGCAGCCGCACAATCCAATGAAATTACGGAATAAAGGCTGAACTCCACATCCTTCTGTTCATGTCTGGGTTACCATATCAGCACAAAGACTGGCTCTTCGGCTCTACAAGGAGGGAAAAACACTTAACCAGTAACAACCTTCCCACCTACCTCGGGCTGTAAATACAACTCCCCTCGTCAGACAAGGTAATGAAGCAGCGCGTGAGGGGGCATCTCACCAGCGGTTTTCTGCATCTCCTCAGGCCCCCAGCATTTCCATCCCCCACCCTCGCCACCGCCTGGCTGAAGAGAAGCCCACAGTGACACCCTCTAACCCCAGGAACCACTAGGGAGGCCCAGCCAGCCCTGCTCAGCGTCCCATTCACGCTCAGGTTGCACAGTCTCCAAGAAAGACACAGGAGCCCACTACACAGAATGAATTCGTCGTTTACCCCCTCACCCCTTCTCCTTTTCTGTTATACTTCATCTCCTGTGAGGATGGCTCAACCCACAGAAACAATGAGAAATAAAATTGTATCGTGTGGCCGGTATCACAGATGATACCTGACATAAGAAGTGGTGGCTGGAATCTGGATTCTCATAGAGAACCTTTGGTGGGGGCAGG